CCCCAAAACCCCAAAACCCCAAAACCCCTAAATTCAACGGAAAATTTGAATTTTCAATAAGAAAATTAAGAAATTAAAATGCTTAACTGTTTAGAATTTCAAAAAAGGTAAGGAGCCAAAACTCATGATTCTTTAGAATGAACTGCCAATTTATTGGATGCATTAATCAGAGGGAGCACTACTGTGAGATCCATGAACAAGTCATCTGTGGAAGCTGCCTCAATAATCACGTAAGCAACTTCTTTATCTTTACCGCATGAGCTTACTGGTTTAGCATTACGACTGTGAAAATCCTGAAGCCCCTAGAGAAGACGGCAAGAAAGTTGTGAGAATCTTGCATAAAGATAAAGTCAAGGAGTTGATTCAGAATATTGATATGGCTTTTACTCCCTTCTTCCACCAGAAAAAGAAAGGGAACATGGAATTAGTTGAAGATTTCTCAAATAGACTCAAGAAATTTGAAATGGATTGGGACCATTTGAAGCAAGATACAATGCAAGTTTTGAGAGCTGATGACTTCCTCAAGTATAAAGACTGTGAAAACAGGATTAAAATGTACTCTTTCTTGATATTCTTCCCTCATCTTCCTCTTAGGTTCTTCCAGAAATTCAAAAGGTCAGATCTGTACAAGGAATTCGCCATTGACCAGCTCAATAAATTGATCCAAAATGGTTGCTCCGAGCTAGACCAGAGTAAGCCTCCTCTAAATCTTTAGAATGTTTCAAGAAAATGAAAGATGATCTTGAGCAAGAATACTGAGACCTAAGGAAGAAGCTCTACATAGAAAACCAGGCAAGAATTCAAAAGTTTGAAAGAGAAAAGGAGAAGCTCATTGCCAGTTCAAATAATAGTAAGCCTTACACTGGACGCATAAATCTAACTGGTTCTTATAGAAGAAATTTTAGAAGAGAACGAGCAATTCAAAAATGAAGAGAAAGTGGTAAGTCTTTTTAATCCCATCTCCTAATTCAAATTATGAAACCACAAATTTCCAAAAATAACGATTTTTTTAATTTCAAATCCTACCTCTCCAATTTTTCCAACCCCAAAAACTATCTCAGCACAAAAACCTTCAACTTCTTCTTACCCTTCCTCTCTACCCCTGCTTCATTCTCACTCATCCTCAATAGCTCAAATCTGAAATAAGAAAACTGAATATTGAGATCAACAAGCGTTCCTCTGAAGAAGAGAAACTTAAGAAAACCAATAGTGAACTTAGTGCTCAGATAGGACGGCTGAAGGAGAAGGTGCAGGAGATTACTGCTGAGAAAGAGAGGATGAATGTTGGGTTGAAGAAGGTTAAAGAGCAGTTGGAAGAGGAAGTGCTGGAGAAGAAGAGAGTGATGCAGTCTGTTGGGGATATTACAAAAGAGAAAGATAAAATAGAAAAAGAATTCAGGAAAGCTGAAAAAGAGGCAGAAGATCTCCAAGAAAGAATTAAGAAACTTGAGGATAAACCCAAGAAAGTATCTATGGATCTTCCAAAAATAGACGAAGATACTATAGACTTGCAATTCAATGACAAAGACTACTCTTCAAATAATCAATATCAACCTTCGAGAAATACTAATCATAGCTCTGAAGACTCTTCTTCCTTCATAAATCTGCCCCCTAGCGATTTTGTGAGTAGAAATGATAGTGCAAACATGCCATTGACTCATAACTATAATCCTTCAAGAACCTATCTGACTTCTCTTAAGAAAGAAAACAACGTCAAGCGTTCTGCATCTAGGAAGAGATCTTGCTCCAGAAAAAATCGCTATAAACACATAACCACTGCAGCAATGTACCAAAACCCCACAAAGAACCTCAAGATCCCATCCAAAATAATTCAGTTTCCAAAACAAAAGTAACAATTCACAATAACAGCATTCCTACACAAAAACCCTTAATATTCCCCCCTAAACAACATGTTACCTCCCCAAAACCCACCTCTAAAATCCCAAATTCACCCTAAATCCTCCTGTTCTCTTTCACCGCTTAGCCCAGGCCAAAAATAGCTTCCCCTCTTCGGGCCCCTTCGGCTACTTCCTTAGCTACAGGCCTGAGCTTGAGCAGGCTTCTCTGGCTGGGTTTTAGGGTTGAGAGGGGGTTATGGGAGAGAGAAGGGATCATAGTTGGGCTAGGAGGATTTCAATAGGTGGAGAAGGATGAGGGGTTTTGGGGTTTTGGGGTTTTGGGG